AAGGAAAGGAATCAGTGCTACAATTACCCCGGAGGCAGGTTCAATGAGTCAAGATCATCTTAGACAGGGCCTGGGGTGCCCGTGGGACCCATGCAGTGGCAGACTATCTTCTCAGGGCTCCTCTTTTCATTTTTATGTATTTATTTTTGCCTGGGTTTTCACTGCAGTGCTCAGGCTTCTCCTTGCAGTGGCTTCTCTTGTCACAGAGCTCATGGTTCGTGGTTCGTAGTCTCAGTAGTTTCACCCCCCAGGCTCCAGAGCACAGGCTCAACAGTTGTGGGACTATTAGTTGCTCCACAGCATGTGGGATCTCCCCGGACCAGGAATTGAACCCGTGTCTCTTGCACTGGCTGGTGGATTCTCCACCACTGAGCCACCAGGGAAGTCTGGAGGGGTGCTTTCATCACAGAGACCACTTTGACTTGACTATTGTCCTCGTCTTGGGAAGTCTATGGTTAAAATCAGGGCACTGTGTGTTGAGAGACGACAGTAAGCTGACAGGATCCCTTTACAAAGCACTCAGCTTGCTTGTTCCTAATTCAGTGTTCCCAGCAGCTCTGCGGTCTTTCTCCTCATTTTACAGACGAGGCTCGGGAGGGTTCATTGCCTTTCCCAGGAGTGGGCACAGCGCACAGAGAAGTAGAACATGAATCTGGCCTGATGGTAGCAAATTCAGGGTCTTTCCTTCTCTTTACCAGCATTTTCTGAATAATGTTCCTTTAGACGTCAATACAGAACTCAAGTAAGTTTCAGCTGGAAGACAGACTTTGGTAAATTAAAATTTGTGATATCAACTAAGAAAAAAAACTCAGCCAAAATTATTTGTCCCCAGAGTTTACACAGAAATAATCAGTAATCACAGAACATGGAACTTGGAAAAAGCAGATCTTTTGCAGATCTGCTTTGAAATTGGTAAGGATGCATTTGGTGTTCTCCCAAACTGCAGGCATGCCTGGGAGAGAAAGCAGGGGCAGAGAGAGAGCTGGCTGTCAGTGCAGCACCGTGCCCAGGGTGGTCCCACACTCAGAGCCCTCCTCCAGGCTGGACCCCTCGCGCCCTCCCCTGCTGGCTGTCCCGCTCCCACCCCTTGGATGAGAATGAGGAGTGGGGCGCGAGTCACAGCACAGGTCATCCCCATGTCTCCTCCACTTCCAGGTCTCAGGCCGTTTCCTTGATGTGAGTTACTTAATTTGAAGAACAATGGCTGAAGATGAAAGAATGAAAAAGCCCTCTTGAGCTATTTCTCTGTTTGTGAAAAGTAAAAATTTAGTGCAGTCTGTGATGAGGTGATGAGTCGGCAGGCATAAATATGTCCAGGGAACACTCTGTGCTGCTTTTTTCTGCCTGGTAGAACTTGTCAGGGGAGTGGAGGGGAGCTGAACTAAGCTTTGAACTCTACAAAAGTCCTGTTCATTTCTGTGGGAGTTACTTGCTTGGGGAAACCTGTGAGAAACAAGTTAACTGTACTTTTAACTGGAAGTGCAGATGTTGTGATCAATTAAGGAAAGAAGCCGTGCATTGGTCTCAACCACAGATGCTGAGTCCAGGAGCCCAAAGGGGTGCACAGGGGGTGGAGAGGCTGGGGGACTTATTGGTGTGAATGTGCCACCCTCAGGCTCTTCACCTGCAGAAACAGACCTGTTCTTCTGGAACATTCTAGCCGGCCAGCACCCTGAGCCTCCCTGACCTTGGAGGATGTGAGGACAAGGTCCCTCAAAGAAGGCTTGCAGAAGTTCACAAAAGCTTCCGAATCTCCAACTCCAGAATGAAAGCAAGCAGAGCAATATAGTAAAAAATCACATTGGAACCATCCCCCGTGAGCCCCCTTCTAACCACGGTGACTTCAGCACGTTTCTTAAGTCCTCTGAGTCTCAGCTTCCTCGAGAGTAAAAGGAGGTTCTGTGAGAACCACATCAGAGTCGGTATGAACTCAGTAACGTGCCTGGGACAAGTGGCACATCCGGTCTAGGCCAGCTCCAGGACCCCTCAGGTGCTCGAACCACAGACCTGGCCCAGGTCCCTCACGGCTCTGAGGGCACCAGAAGGAGCAGACCAGACCACCACCCAGAAGCACTGTGCACCTACAGTCTGAGGAGACCCGCGATGGAGATCCTGGGGTGCAGGGAACACCCCGGGGGGGCCCGTCCTGCCTGTACTGAGGCCAGGCCTTCCTCAGTGTGAAGACCTGCTCCCCTCTAGGCCTGCCCAGCCCCTCTGTCCTTGTCCAGCTTCCCCGTGATAGCTACGCAGGGGCTGCACCTAACTTTCCAGGCAGCCCCCCACCTGCTGGGACCCCCACTCCTAGCTCCTGGTTCTGGCTCAGACAGGCTGAAGACGGGCCAGCGGAGCCTCCTGATGGACCGGGGGAGGAGTGGGCGCCTGTAGCTCTTCCAGCATCTGTGTTTTCAGGTCTGTGCAGCAACACCAGCCGCCAAGCTGTGCTGAAGTGATTGGAAACAGACAGGAGACAGGAGCATCGTCTAAGGCGTCCTGTGTCAGAGCGTGTGATGGCGAGCTCTGGTTCAGAAGCCTCCTCCATCCCCAGAGACATAGATTCACTGAGCTGCCAGGCCTGAGTTTGTCCCGTCTTCCCAATGAGGCGTGACTTTATGCAAGTAAACAAAAACAGAGACTAGCCCCTGTCTATGCAAAATAACGTCTGCTTAAATTATACCCCAGAACTTTCAAAAAGATAAAGATCAGCCAAGATTTTGATCTTGACCAGCTTTTGAATCAGGATCTAAACTAAGTGCTGAAATCCGGGTTTTGAGTGTGTGGCCTTGACCACCCCTCTTCAGGGTTGGAAGCTGTAGTCCCCGGTGACCACACCCACTCTCCAACCAGGGGGCCAGGGCACCCGCACCTCACAGAAAGAATCTGGGATGACAGGTGAGCAGGGGCTTGGTAAATGCAACCAGGCTGGAAGGCACATCTGCTCAAATTTCTCCCCAAAACATCTCCCCTTGGCTTCTGGCCTCGGGGACTAGTTTTTTTGCAAAAGGCTACACAGGGAAAGTTTGGGTTGGTACTGACTCCAAGTTTCCACAGGGGGAGTCCTACAGCTGCATTTCCAGACACAGCTGACGCTCTCAAATATCTCTCATGCTATAGAGCGTACGTGGGCGAGTGGTGCACTTCTCCAGGATTCATGAGAAAGAGCAGCAGAGGTGGGCTGTGAGGTCGAGGTCGGTAGCAGGAAATGATTGAACCCAGCACATAGAGGGACCCTGATGGGACTGCATTTATCAGCCTGAAATGAGCCAGACACTTAAACGCCTAAGCAGGAAATACACAAGCCCCTCCTTTCTGAGGCTAACTGGAAGAATGTGTGCTCATTCTCTCAAAAAACTGTACCCACTGATTTACCAGTGATCACATTTACAAAGTGATCAGTGTCGCGAATCGCTGTTTATACTGATTCTCAAGCAGGAGTGAAGGTGGTGATCCCCACTGCACAGATGAGCAGACTGAGGCTAGTCTGCACCGGTCGGCAGAGGCAGAGCAGCGGGGCTAGCCTTGGATGCAGACGCCCTCCTCTCCCCTCAGACAGTGACAGCTGAGCCAAGACCCCCAGCCCCCTGCATAACAGCACATCCAAACTTCCCAATTGCTTCCAATGTTCCCTAGAGGGAGTACTTTTTTCTCATATAAATAAAATTATCTGGAAATTTCTAAGTCCATGAGGAGCTTGAAGAGGGTGTATGTAAAGTAGGAAATAGAAATATTTCTGTGCCATTTTTGCATCATCCTGTTAACGCTAATGACTTTTAGAGTGGATTTTTTTCCCAAACCATTACTGTTATAATTAACAGCCTATGTGATTTAAATGCAAAATGCAATGAAGATGGCTGGACTATTTTCCTTTTTAAATCTTATGTTAGATTTTTAACGTTCCATAAGTATGGTCTTAAAAAAAAACAGGATAACCCTGAAAAAAACTGTTCAAACCTGGTTCAATTTGCAATCTACCTCCTGGTAAATATTACTTTCTTTCATCCCAATGTTACATTCGGTGATAAAACTATCAGATAAAAGCCCTCTCTGCCTTTCATTTCATTGTTCCCTAAATAGAGCAACCTACTGACATTCCTGCCTTAAAAATCAGGCTCTGAACGAACCCCCGCGTCTTTATGCAGCATTTCTTCCTTGCAGACGGAACAGCCAAGGGATGTGAAGGAGAAAGCCAAACAGACAAACATGCGGGTTCTGAAAAATGAATCCCCCTAAGAGGCTGTCTCCCGGGGAACTGCAAATCTTAGCCCCTGGCCGAGGAAGCGAGGGCTCGGTATTTCTTAGAGAGATATTTCCCCCTTGACACCCGGGTGTGCAATGGATTAACTAGTTAGAAACTGGTGAGAGGCGGGGTCCCTGCGCCTGAGAGCGCGGGGGCCCGGTGCCCTGTCCGTGCGGCCGGGCGGGAGCCGGGCTGGGCGGACTCCTCCGTCCGCTGCCCCTCGGGCTTCTCGCAGGGAGGCCGGCTTGGCCCGCGCCCCCTCCCTCCTGGGCTGGCCCCTTCCCTTTCCAGCGCCCCGGGCAGCTCCGCCGTCCAAACCGGAGCTGAGTTTGCTGACAGGGGCGCACGGGCTGGCGGCGCTGATGTCAGAGCCGGCTGACGGCCGTGATTGGATCTAATTAGACTTCGCAGCAGCAAATAGACAGGCTCCCTGCGTGATCGGCTTCAAAGTGGCTGGTGCCCAACAACTAGCAGAGGTGCCAAAGTAGAGCCTGCGCGCGGAGCCCAGATCCGGGGCGGCTGGGGCGGCGGGCGCTTCGCGGTCCCGGCCTGCGCGCTTGGTGCGGGCTCAGATAGCCGGCTCTGCCCGGCTGGACGCAGGTGACAGAGAGCTGCCAGAGGAGACGCCAGGAGTGCGAGCGCTCAGCCCCGAAAAGTGAGCCGGCTCCGGATCCGCAGGAGCGTCCCCCGCGGCCGCGGCCGGAGCCGGAAAGCTGAGAGTGTTGGAGAGAGGACTCCTGCCTGGGTTCACTCTCCGGCCGCGGCCATGGCATCGGTCCTGGGGACCAGCAGAGCGTCCGGAGGGCTGAGCGGTCAACTCAAATGCAAGTCCAAGCGGAGGAGGAGGAGGCGGGCCAAGCGGAAAGGTAAGGACCGGCTTCCGCGCCGCCTGGCGCGCACTCCCCGCGACGCGCGTCGCCTCTGCGCGCCCTGCCCGCTTCTAGCGGCCTCCCTCAGGATGCTGGGGCGACGTGGCCGGGGCCCGCCGAGCGCCCCGCTCCAGAGTTCAGGTCCCTCCGTGAACGCCCGGGCTTCCGCGAGCCCGAGGGGGTGGCCAACCGAGCGGGGGCCCCGGCGGAAGGCGGTGCCCTCCCCGGCCTCCAGCACGGCTACTGACCGTCGCGCACAGACGCCGGTGCCGAAAGAAACGCTCGCCTAAGCCCTAAGCGTCCCTAAGAACGAGGGACGGGACCTCGCGCCAGCTTCTCCATCGCAATTGTCTTGGAGGCGGGAGTGGGCAAAACCCTGGCAACCGCCTCCCCACGCTGGGTGACAGTTTCTATTCCGAGCGGCGCCGGCTGTTTTGTAAACACGCGGACCTGCAGCGCGAACAGGGTTCGTCCGGGGGGAATAAGCAGAAATTAATGCATGAAAAGAGAAACAAGCATCGCAGCTCATTAGAAATGAGGAAAGCTGCGAAGCAGGAGAGGAGAGGAAGTGCCTGGTGTCAGGTTTGAGCCTGGCTCCCCAGGTGCTGGGAGACGAATGAGCCCCCGAAGTTAGTCGTCGGGTGGGCAGCCCAGGGTTCCCCTCGGGGGCAGGGCGCAGCCCGCCGCTGCTCCGCCAGGAGGACGGCCCTGGGCGCCGTCCCGCCGGTGTCTGTCCCTGGAAGGTGGCCGGAGCCCTCGGTGCGGCCGCCTCTTTGCCAGAGAGGAACTTATGTCAGCCGCCCCTTATCATGAGTCTGCAGGAGAAAGTTCAGTTATTATTTGAAATGTGTTGGGGTTTTTTTTAAGTGACCAAAGAGCCCTAAAGAACGGGGAAAGACACAACAATCGTGTGTCAGGTTTCCCAGTTTCTCTGCGGGAGGATGCGGAGTTAGTTGTTATTGAACATGTACCTCCTTCCCCAAGAATCTTCATCCTTGTGGAGGCTTAAGATAAGTTTCTGCCCCATCTCTTCCTAACTGCTTCTAAACAGTCCCCAAGCCCTTCCCGACTTCTTCTAGTAGTAGAAATTAACCAGACGGTTTGAAGGAATAAATGCCAAGAGCACACAGCCATTCATTATGATTGCATGTCAGGGTGGCAGGGAGCAAGGTGACAGCTTCTAGGAGGGCTTCAGAGCCTTGGTGTGGGGGGTGATTCTGTGATTCTGGTTTAACTCTTGAGCTGCTGCAAAGAATGCTGGCTACTCACTTTGTTCTCTGAAAATTTCGCTCCGAATCAGATCTGGTCAATGTCTTCCAAAAATAATGCTAACAAAAAGTGACAATGATATTGAAAAAAATCACAGAATTTAATAATAAGTATAAATTTTTAAAGTAATGAAAAAGAAACATTGCCTTTTATGCTTCAAGTGTTCATGTGTTCCAGTATTTTTATTTAGTATATTTAAATATTAAAATGGAGAAGTATGGAACAATATTTTACAACAAAGCAAAACCTATCGAAAGAAAATAGAAGCTGATGAACACTCATGTCTTTCTCCAAATTCATTTTTGTACCTTTAATTTAAGGGCAGTCATGTTAGCTTAGAAGGGATTCATTTTCAGAAAGGAAAGCAAGAAATCTGAAGGACGACTTCATTGGCTATAAACTATAACAATTCAAAATAAAATTTTATGTGAAATATGTATACACTTTATTTTGAATATACCAAGTCTCTTAATTTTTATAGCCAAAAATGAAGTAGGAAAAGGTATTCAGGATGTGTGTACTAATTCCAGTTACTCGAAAATTTATCTGTGGGGTGAAGTTTCCTATGTCATCTGCCAACAGCTTATCGTGGTGGATGAGTCAAATCAAACCTGTAAGTGTTCACTTCTTAGGGAAAAGTTAGCGGTGGAGGTGTGTGTGGTCAATGAAAAGAAAACAATAATTACAGAGCTCTTTATTTGCATTTTCCTGGGAACAGATAAGTCTGTATATAATTCCTAATTATTACAGATACTTTTTTCCCCTCTTCTATCAGGACAATGGTCAATTTAAATTATGTTCTAATATGAGTTTTAACAGCAGAAATATAATAGAATAGCCTCAACTTTTAAGCTTATCTAATAATAAAACTCTATATCTGTCACAATTTAAAGCCCATATGTGTATGGGTGGCTGTTAAGGAATTTTGATAAGGCTCTATTGAGTACTAAGTAAAGCCAGTGATTATGAGCACACAGAAAGAGTTCTTTTCCTGGGTAAATGAATAAATTAAAGTAAATGTACATTTTTTGCCAGTGGTAAGCGTATTTCCACCTATTCTCACAAACAAGAATCATTTTGTTTGCATCATAACTTTTAGTTTCCCAGAGCTGTTAACCAAAATGCTACTAGCTTCTATACAAATTCTCTAAATGTGGCTTTCCTGAGATTTCTTTATTATGCTTTTTATTGTCAGAATAATCTATAGGATCTGAAATAAAAGCTCTGTAGCTACAGTGTAACTGTGGAATTGACACGATACTCCCATTTATTATTACATAGGATCCAGAGCCTTGGAAATGAAATTTTTTTTTCCTGTAGGAGATATTTTTTAGTCATGATATCACACAGAAAGCAGTCCATATCATTAAAAGTAAAAAAAACAACAAAAAAAAAAAAAACCTTAGTCGCAAAATCTGACTTCAGGTATTAACTAGGCATGACCTGCATTTGTCTCTCAGGTAAACTTTTAAAAAGACACTTAAGCAAACCTCCCCACCCCCAATCCTCCTGTTATTTCATTAGGACCCAGGGCCATCCATTTTTGCATTTTTCTCTCTGTGTTATTTTTTAGTTGGGACTTTATCTTATAAATTGTTTATGGATCATTTACATTTTCTGTACAAACAAGAAATGTCAAATTTTGACTTTTTATGCAAAAAAGAAAGGCAGTTTTTTGAAAAGCTGAGCAAAGGACAGTGTTACCATCTCATTTGCACACTACGGTTCGGGACGGTCACCTGCTCAGTAACATGTGCACCCACACTGTGGTTAAGAATGGTCCCTTCCCCTGTCACACATGAGCCCCATCAGCTTCTGCTTGTGTTTCGTGCAGAGACTTCCAGGAAATCCTGGCTGCACATGTAGTTTAGGAGGCTTGCCTGCTGCCTCCCACACGGAGCACCCTCTTAGCCAGCTCCTCACGGAGAATCCTGGAGGCCGTGCTGGGCCTTCCAGTCCTGGGTGAGACTGTGTGCGGGTCTGCACGCAGCCTGTCTGTGCTGGTCTTAGAGTCACGCCTGCGCGTGTTACAAAAGAACTGAAAGTGTGGATATTGTAAAAGGTTGTAAAAGGTGTATATTTTAACCTGAGTAGTAAAGGCAAAGGTGGAAGGTTTCTTAAATTAGTATCAGCTCAAGCAGGAAGCACAAAAGGCGGTACCATCAGAACAGAGTAGCATATAAAATAAGTCACTTACATGTATCAGCTCCCTGAACCATGGACACCTCCAGGAAAATATGCCTGAGGAATTGCATAGGTGTATTCTTAATTATTAAAATAGTATACATATTCTCTTTTGATCTCTTGGTGAGCTTTCTTTGGTGAGAGTAGTTTCCCAAAAAGAAACTGTGTATTGTCATGAAATGCATTTTGTAAATAAAATATTTTTAACATTTGACCCATGAATACATATGGTGTATAAAATAATTGAAGTCTCTGGAAATTAAAAAAAAAGATTGCTCTTTAAATACAAATATATTAGAAAATGGATTGAGAACCAATACAAATTCAGTTGGTCCCAGGAGGTAAATAGGAAGACAGGGTTTTAATTAGGCATCAGTCACTAACACAGAGAGGGGGAACTTTGGGGAACTATTTGAAATGCTGCAGAAACAATCCTTGGTAAGTAGATCCAGCTGAACGCGGCATCAACGCACAACCTGTCTTTTCTGAGGCGTTTGACAGCAAGCTAAGTTAATGCTTAAATTTCACGTATTGTTCCAAGGAAATCCCTTACGCAGAGTTCTAGAAAATTGAGGGGTAGCTCTGCAGAAGTAAGCTGATGAATCAGGAGGAGGCAGGAGCAGCCGGTCATGAACTTGGGGAAATGTGGGGGCAAGTTGGCCAAAGGACCAGGATAAGGACAGCATGTGGATGGCAGACGCAGGCTTGTTGTGAAATGGCATTCCATGAAAAGCTGATGAAATAGAAAGATGGGCCACAGATGAAGGTGGCAGAGGCTGATGGTCTCATCCTACCTGGTGGGGCTGCCTGCCTCATGCATTGCAGCCAAGCATCTCTGCACACACTAGCCTCGCTGGCCCGCAGCTCCGGATCAAAGACTGGATTTAGTGATGAAATTAAACTGACGGAACTGTTCGCCCTCTAATTGTGTAAGGGCTTTTTATTCCTTTCTCTTTTTAAAATTTGTATTAGTACCTCTGGTTTCTAGTGACCCGTGTAATAGCAGTAATTTGAGATTGCTTCAAGGGCATTAGATATGATGAGTGAACTTGAATTTAGAATAAAAATATGAGGCTCATGGATCCATCACTAAACAGTGGTGATTGGGTTGTTGGAGAAGTGCTGCCCCAGAGGGGCATCACATAAGGATATGCAGAATAAGGAAACTGCAGCTTTCTTTTCTTGAGTCATAGAGAGACAACTTCTGCTCTGAAAGCATTCAGTGTTCAATTTTAAAACCGTAGATGTTTGTGGTTGTGTGTGTGCATGTGTACATATACATACAGTGAAGACAGCTGAAACACCTGAGCATTTTTTATATCTGCCTGATTCTTTTTCTAAAATGCTAGAAAATGAAAGTCACTGTTTTTGTACTGTGGACAGTTTTGAACAACTCATAAAACCAAAAATAATATCACGGATCTTCATCATTTAAAAATATTATCTCTAAACACCATATCGGTAAATGGAGCTCTTAATTACTAGCAAACAAGATTTCTAAAAGGATAAATTTTCACATAATAGGTGAGATTTTAAAGGTACTT